GTTAGCATATTTGGCAGTAGTAGAGCACCTAAATTTCAAAATGTCTTAATTAAAAATATTTTGAAAACATGAGGCTGTATATACCATTAAAAATTGATGTAATCACATCTCAGTTGTTTTATTTTTATTAACCTTCTCTGGAAAAAGTGATGTTTGACTCACCTACTCAGTGAAAATGCAGATATAGATAATGTGGGTTTGATCAGCATGTTATAATTATGCATGCAGTTACCTTCAAAGATGCAGTTACCTTCTCATCTCTTGCTCTTTGTTGCCATAGGGGGATGGGTCTTAAATTTCATGATGCAAGTGTTTCTGAATTAACATTAAACGCAGCATACACAATAAAACAATTTCGTAATAAAAAGCATCACATTGTAGCCTCTTAGCTTCCTTGTGTCATAGTGGAATTGTATCTCTTTCCTGCATTTATGTGCTCTTCTTTTTTTGGAATTTGCAATGAAATGGGGAATATGAAAAAAAAAAAATATATATATATATAACCGTGTGAGGTTTATTTGTATACAAAGGAACATAGACATTCCACAGAAATCTAATTACACAATTTTGGTACGAAATGACTACCCTGTTTGTGTCAGACAAGAATAGAGACTGAAATATATGATACTAGTAGGTGGAAAACTTATTGACATAAGAAAACAACTAAACAATTTAAAAAATAATCATCGCCTTATTTTCTTTATATCAGAAAAAAATCACCTGATTAAAAAATAAAAAAAAATAAAAAAATAAAAACTTTACATTTATCCTCGACATGGGAAGTACTTAATGACGAAATGACAATGTTTGAACTGCACTTTAACTCGCAAGGAATATTGTCCCAAAGCATCATACATGACAGAAACTCAACAATTTCCACCTCATCTGACACCATTTAGAAAATATGGCACGTTTTATTGGCAACCATTCTCGAACCTTTATTGCACTGGAAAGCTTGCGCGAATTCTGGAGTGTTCATCATCATAGCGTTTATTCTAGAACAAAAAAAGGGGTGGCAGTTAACAATATGATATTAATGATAGCTATAAGATAATTGTCACGTAGTAGAGATGGAAACAAAGACAAAGGTGATTTCGTAATGACAGATGTAAATAATGTTTATGAAAAGCTAATGGAAATGATAGTAATTATAAGAAAGGTAAATGATGAAAATATGATAAGATATTGAAAATGGTAACTATTATTAGAATGGTAAATAATGATACAATAACGAAAGCAACACGATTATCTCGAAAAGAAGTAATAATATATGACCAGGGCCGGTGCTTGGAATTGTGGGGCCCAATTAGAAAACTGATGGTGGGGCCCCTATTCTAAATAGTAAACTTAATTGGATATTTATATTTCATATAAAAACACATACGAACCAACAACAACAAAAAATGAATAATATTAAATAATTGGTATAATAATTTTCTGAAAGGCAATATGAAAAGTTTTACTGTTTTACTTTAAACATAAAGAAAAGCGCGGGGCCCCTTTCTGGTGCAGGGCCCAATTTGATCAAATCGGTCAAATCGGCTTAAAACCGGCCCTGAATATGACAATTCAAAGTAAATTATACGAAAATGGAATGCTAATCGATGACATAACGGACGAGAAAATCAGGGATGGTAAATGCAAAATTAAAAGAATAACAATGACATATAAAAGACGAGTAAAAAAATATACTTACCTCATACCGTTTGGAAGATGTTCGTCCAGCTCCATTAGCAAGATTTTGGCAAGATTTGGGATGACGGCGCAATATGGCTGAAAGAAAATCGTTAGAAATATAGGATAATTTGATTAGCTTTTCGTCCCTTAGTTCAAGCTACGTAGCGTATAACCGGGTATAGAAAGTGTTCAATATGTATTTCATCATAATCTTTCCGTTATTTTTCCCCTTTTTTCCATTCCTGCTCTCTCTATTACTCAGTGCCTTTCAAGAAGAAGACGATGACGAATAGGAAAGAGAAAAAGAAAGAGAAGATAAAAACGAGGCGAATGCGAAAAAAAAGCAAAAGAATCAAGAGAAGACAAAACCGAAGGCAAATGCGAAGAGAAACAAAAGAAAATGAAAAAAAGGAAAAGAAAACCAAGAGAAGAAAAATAGAATATAAGAAAATCAATAAACAAAGTAAAAAAACAACAACAACAACAACAAAATCGACATAGGTACCTGAGCCGCTGAAACGAAGAAGAGCTGATGGGGGGAGAGGGGGAGGGCGGGGAGGCGAGGTTCCTGGTAGTGGGTTTTCTCCCACGTTTGGTACGCCCGGAAAGAATGGCGGATACCACCGATGTCTGCCAGGTTCTCGTTGAAGGTCGTGCTGCTGTCGATCTGCAGTTGATTCACGATGTCGGTGAGTGTTTTGTTTTTTGTTTATTTATTTATTTACTTATATTTTGTCGTGTTCGGCTTTTTTTCGTGTTCGGCTGGGTGGTGTATGTTCATTTTTGGTATTGTATTGATTTACTTTTTTCGATCCTTCACCTATGTCTATTTCATTCTATTTTTTGTTATTATTTTTTCAGGGTAAATATTTTTTCTCTTTCGTTTTGACCGTATTACTATCCCTACTCGGTTTTCTGTTGTTTGATGCTACTTTGTGTCATTTAATGTCCATTTTTATCTGTTGTGTTATACACTTTTCACCTTTAATTATCTAGATTATAAAATTAAAATCATTCACCCCCTCCCAATTATTCCGTTATCAACCCTCTCTCTCATTCCCCTTTATTTCCTTCCCTCCTTCCCTTTTACACTTTGCTCTCCTCCCCTTTCCCTTTCCTCGTCCCGCTAACACATCTCTCTCATTACTCTTTATTCCCCTCCTCTCTTCCCCTTTCCCTTCTCCATTATTCCGCTATGAACCCTATCTCTCATTCCCCTTTCTTCCTCTCTCTCCTTTCCCTCTATTCCCCTCTCTCCTTTCCCTTTCTTTCCCTCCTTCCATTTAATTCCCCTCTCTCCTTCCCCTTCATTCCCCTCTTTCCTTCCCATTTCTTCCTTGCCTTCTCTTCTTCCCATTTCTTCCCCTTTCTTCTTTCCCTCTTATGCCCCTCTCTCCCTTCCCTTTCATCCCCTACTTCCTTCCCCTTTATTCTCCTCTCTCTTTCCCCTTCATTCCCCTCTCTCCCTCCCCTTCATTCCCCTCTCTCCTTCCCCTTTTTCCCCTCCCTCCTTCCCCCTTTTTTAAACCTCCCTCTGAATACATTCCCTTTCTTCCCCTCTCTCATTCCCTTTCATTCCCCTTTTCTCCTTCCCTTTTATTCCCTCTCTCCGTGCCTTTCATTCCCCTTTCACCTTCCCCTTCATTCCCTCTCTCCTCCCCCTTTTTTTTTACCTCCCTCTGAATACATTCCCCTTCCTTCCCCTCTCTCTTCCTTTCTTCCCCCTATCTCCTTCCCTTTTAATCCCCCACTCTCCTTCCCTTTCATCTCCACTCTCTCCTTCCCTTTTATCCCCCTTCTCTCCTTCCCCTTTCTCGCCGTCCTCACCTCCATCGCGATGAAAGCGTCCTCTACGGCCACCTCCTCATAGAACGCGTTGTTGAGGAGGTCGTGGTAACAGCGCACTGTGGACATCAGATGCTCCCGGGATGCGTTGCTGAACGGACGTGTCATCTCCCCGTGGGAATCGAAGAGGGTTCCTGTGAATTGATATGATTTTTCTTGGGGGTATTGTAAGTATTTTGTTTCCGTGCTTGTTTTTTGTACTTATTCGTATTTACATATTCTTGTGAAGCGTTTTTTTTTCTTCCGATTCGTATTACAAGTCGTAGTGTGTTCCTGTGTATTATTATTATAAATATCATTTATATTCGTATTTCAAGGCTTACTGTGTTCTTGTGAAGTATTTTTTTCTGTTCAGATTACAAGTCGTATTGTTCTTCTGTGACGTATCTATTTTTCTTTATATAAATTATAAATGTATAATTTTTATCATAAAGAGTACTGAGGGCCATTTTCTATATATTCCCATGGCTAGAACCTTAAGAATACGTAGAAATGTCTTCCCATACATTCTGGATTTTGTACGTACGTTGATAAAAGACTGTTAATGAGAATAGCGGAAAGACAGCAGGGTTCGTACATACTTCACGAAATTCCAACCGGAATGAATAAAATGGATGAACTGCATTATATATCCTTAACGAAAATCCAACCGTAATGAATTAAATGGATAACTGCACTATATATCCTTAACAAATCCAACCGTAATGAATTAAATGGATAAACTGCACTATTATCCTTAACGAAAATCCAACCGTAATGAATTAAATGGATAAAATGCATTATATATCCTTACCGAAATCCTACCGAAATAAATTATATGGATAAACTGCATTATATATCCTTAAGGAAAAATCCTACCGAAATGAATTAAATGGATACATTGCCTTAACAACTTATTTCAGCGACTCACCTGTGAAATCCATCCCGTGGAATATTTCATGAGCCATAGCTGTGGCGGCCGACCCGTAGTTGAGGTACTCTGGCCCCTTCTTCGTGTAGTAAGGGGAGTGGAAGAACGCCTCGGGGAAGACTGGAATGGGATGTGAAGTGAAAAAGCAGGATTTACCTTTTGGGGGATTCAGATCTTTATATCTCTTTGTAGGTCTCTCTTTATGTGTTTGTTTGTCTTGCCTCTGTCTCTTGTCGGTGTCTTAGTTCCATGTTTCTGTCAGTGTCTGTGTCTTCATTCTCTCTTCTCTCTCTCTCTCTTCTCTCTCTCTCTCTCTCTCTCTCTCTCTCTCTCTCTCTCTCTCTCTCTCTCTTCTCTCTCTTCTCTCTCTCTCTCTCTCTCTTAGTCACTCTAGCATAACTGTGAACTGACCTATAGTATTGGTAGAATGCATATGAAAAGCGTTCACGATGTATGGCTGGACCGTAAAACTCCAACTGAAATAAAGAGAGTTCAAACAATAACTAAAAAGGTGAAAAGTAAGAAAAGGGTTGAATTATGTGATTGGAACTCATTCATCATAAGGTAT